TGTAAAAATTATATGTGTTATATAATTAATACAATAATTTATATTGTATATACCTAATTAATTATATACAATAGGTTTTATACTATAGACAAAGAGTATAGTCTGTTTTATTACTCACAGTGTAATATTTTTCATGAAGGCGTTTAAAAATAAGTATATATTTCAAATATTTTTGCGGCACCCTAAATTTAAGTTTGAGGTACCCTAGGGTGCCGCGGCACCCTGGTTGGGAAACTTTGATCTAATGTATCGAATGAAATAAGTATAATTAAATTTTTTTAATACTATTAAAATAAGAGTATAATAAGTAATAATTAATTTGTTTTTTTCTTTAGACGGTACATTTGAGTATCAGTTGAATTTATTTTATTCAAAAATACTTAGTATTATTGTTACATTTGATTTATCTAACATTTATGTGATCTCCTGATGAAAAATGCAAAATAATCTAGACCATGCTACAAATTCTGATAAAAAAGGAAGATAAAAATAATTTGATGGAAATACATTTTATAGTGTTGGATCATAGGTTACCAACAGTTTTCTGGGTAGAAATAATTTACATGTGGCTCCAGATGATATTGACGCTTAAGTGAATTATGAAGAATACAAGATTTCAATATAAAAGAACTCTTTATCTTTTCATAAGCATCTACATAGTTTAGTTATAACAATTAATATTCATTATATGATAAATTAAATTTATTTGTATTGACTTTTCATTAATTCACATGTATGTCTGAGGATAACTGGATTTTTCATTAATTTGCTTATTGTATAATAAATATTGTGTCGCAATACAGAAATATTCCGTAATTATTACAAGAATAAAATGGTTGTATTCCATTTTTGCGTACACGTGTGTTTTAGGCAGATCGCATTTATTTATTAAAAGGTTTTGTCTAGGTCCGGTTGGAATTGAGTTGCTACAAATAAGCGCATTGGATGTGAGATTTATTATTGAATAGTTTAAAAAATATGGAATTTTATGGAAGCTAGGAATAACGTAGGAGATCTGTAATATATGCCTTCCGACACGTATCGCGTATTCGGCGAACTATAACGTCTGTATTTAAATCGTGTTGTTGATAGATTATAGTTTTCAAGCGAAATAAAATTACATCGTCAACAAATAAAACGCTACTAGATGCACATTTTTTTTTTAACTTGTCAGAAAATGTATTTAGATAGTTATTTCTACTCTAAGACGTTTGTAGTCCTATTCTTTATTAATTTTTATAGTAGTTGCAGTGCCGCAATAACCGGGTGTGTTGCTTGTGTCAAACACATGGTCTCATGGTCCCAGCCTATAATAAGGCCCAATGATAATATTTGAAAATTATATAGAAAGCAAGAAAATAAAACCATTTTTTAGTAATAATTATTCCATTTTTTAATAATAATTATTAATGGAAATTGAACTATAATTGATTTATTTTGTTTTGTACATATTACTATATATCAGTTTCTTCTGTAGCCTATTTAATTGAAATTCAAAATAATTTGGTTATAATTGATGTCTACCTACAGAGTCCGGGCGCGGGGGGGGGGACATTTATTTTATTTACACATGAGCCCAAATTAGTGTAGTTGCGATATTGAGTAGGTGGTATATATTATGTTTAAAATCGATAAAGTGATAATTCACTGATTATTCTTAAATCATGCGCCATGTGAACATTGTAAATTAGGTATCATACATATTATATAAACGAGATGTAAAATGATTTCCGTTAAGTTTTGGGTGTAGTTGACTGTAAGGATTATTTTTTTTATAAAAATTGGCTAACATTATAATTAATTTAAAATGTATAATTTTATAAATACACATTTTATTTGTAACATTTGCGTACTTCATATGCATTGTATTTATTCGATAAGTTTTTACTACGAATAAATAATTGAATTGTATATTATTTTGTTTTGTCGACTACAAATCGTTTCAAACAAATGGTTTTTATTTGACTTCAATTTATTTTTGCGTTGGTTGCCAATCTTTAAGTAAAAGTTTTCCGTTTCAGTTTTTAATTAAAAATATTCGAAAAAAATATATATATTATTTAAAACATATTTTAGTAAAAATAATTTTTAAATTCGTATTTCTTGCAATTTAAAACATTCAAAAGTTTGGAATTTAAAATATTTTATCAAAAAAAAAAATAATGCAAACATATATATATATATATATATATAAAATTGAACTATTTTGCATACGAGTTAATATTGAACTTTTTATTTAAGATTATCCAAGTCATATTGTTTATTTAGTGTGCGTGACGTAGAGCATGTATATGATAATTTTTAGAAAACAATATTATTATATTTATTGTTGGTTTATTAAGTTCCTATAATAGTATTAGCTGAATTACACGCATATTGTGTAGGAGTTGAAACATATGAAATCTAAGAACCGTTATGTTTTGAAATATCGGTTGTCGCATTTGATACGAAAATGTTATATTTATATATGATATAATAGTAAGATATGCATATTAATTGTGCGAATGGATCAACTGTATAGTAATATGAAACATGTGCATAATATTAGTCTGACTAATGTCCAACATACAGAAGCGTTGTACTATTTGCTTTTATTATCCAGTGTGATTAGAGTCGCCAAATAGTTATCCTGCGTCTGTTGAAACTTGAAATCGAGTATTATATTATAAAATTGAGAGAAAGCAAAAAAAAAAAAAAATTTTAGATGTTGAAGGCCGAGGTCCTTATTTAGGAGTGTACGTACTCGATAGGAATAAGTATACATTCTTCTAAACTATACGATATAAATGAACTTTGTCATACATGTTGCATTCGGTCGTAAAATAATATATTAGTGTGAATAATGTCAGTATTATGCGCTATGTATATTCAGTGCGTGTATGCTTTTTTTTCTTTCGGTTACCCGATTTAATGATGAATATTTTGCTTGTACCTATTCCTCTAATTATTGAGAAGGTTAATATAACAATGTGAGAATAGTAGTTAGTAATAATAATAGTAGTATTTGGCGTATTTCTTTCCATTCATCACGTTATTTTTTAAGAACAATATTTAATTTGTCTATGAATACACTTATTATGATGCGTATATATATATTATTTATGTCTTACATGTTATTATCTTATACTTATATTTTTTCTGCAATACACGTATGCACGTATAGTATATTTGCATGTTGTGTACATGTATGGTAAAGTTTAATGAATGCTGTATTTTTATATTATTTTAAAATGTTCATCTATAGAAAATTATACTAATAAAAAAATAACACTCATTTTTAATTGTGTTCTTAGTTTTTAGGTCAGTCGCCATTATTAGTCTTTATAATAAATTATTAAATACGATTAACAATCTTTAAATTTGTTTTTAGATCAAAACTATGTACGTAATACAAATTATATGTAATAATTTTCGAATTACTTTTTTATTATTAAATTAAATATACTTATATATATTTAAAATATAATTTAAAATATATTTAATCCTTGTATTTAATATATATATATATATATATATATCTAATATATTTAATCTATGGTCATAGTTACTTTGCGTTTGTAGCAATTAGTATTATGCCCGTATGTGTGTGACAGTTTGCGTTTGTAATAGTTTCATTTTACAAGTAAATCCAAACATTATGGCGACTATAAAGAAAAATTTGCGATGAATATCGTTTTTTTAATAATTCTTGGGTTGATTTATATTTTTTCATTGAAAACAAAGGTAAGCCATTATGTTTAATTTGTCGAAAAATTAAATTTTTTCTTAGAAGCAATTTTTTTCAGTTATATTCGTATTTTTTACACTCATATTTCTATGTAAAAATAATAAAATATAATAGCAATACAATTATTAGTATATATCATATGTAAACTTTTTTTTTTAATGTGGTTCTTGATAAACATATGAAAAAAAATATGGCCCGCGTGGTTCAAAAGGTTGCCGACCCTGGTCTAGATCTAAAAAAAAAAACAGGAGTGCTTTATTTGAACTCAATGGTGCTAAAAACCTTATTGTGCCCCCCCCCCTAGTTGCGCCTATGGTACCATGTATATCTATTTCTCAAATTATTTACTATATTCTGTTTCGTAACATTGGTTTATATGTATATCTATTTTAATCATATATACTTATCGTTGTGACACTTGTATTTACATTTTGTGTTAATTTTATCTAAATATATTATAGCTCTACTGTTAGTTATTATGAAATTTATCTATACTTGAGGATCAGTAAGATAACATAATGTACTTTAAATACGTCAACATTCTTTATGTAGGTACTAATCATCTTTGAAAATATATATATTATACACAAGTTTCTCCATGTTATATTGATTTCCGTGAGTTGGTGAAATAAAAATTAATTAAAATATGTTACAAAATTATGTATAGAAAAATATAAGTAATTTTTTACCTGTATATATATATATATATATTTTATTTAAATACGAACTAATATTGTTAGTGTTTTACCATTAAATATTATTTAATAAAATAATACTAACTTAGTTATTTAAAATATATTTGACAATAATATGTATCTGAAAAAATAATGTTACATAAAATATGAAAATATTTTTATCCTGCATCTCTTTATTTTTAAATGCTGGGATTTTCAGTTTTCAGTTGCTACAACTGGTGTATAATACGTACATTTTATATTGAATTAAATAATTTAGTTATATTCATCAAACAAAGAATTGCAACTATTACATACACGCATCACCGATTACGTTGTATTTGAATTATTTTTAATTACAGTAATTTGTTTCATAATGAAATTTATGTATAATTCGCGTTCAGCTTTAAAACGAAAAAGACATCAATGTCTATTATAACGTTACTTTCCGTTAATATTTATGTGCGACGTCAATACCTTCATATTAAATAAAAAACTTATGTTATGTATTATTCTACTAGGTAGTGCGACAAATAAATCTTGTACACTCAAAAATAGTAATTATAACAATCGTAATTTTTATGTCTTTACTTTTTCAGAACACGTACACAAACGCAGAGAAACTTTTGACGGCGGCGGAAGAATTGTCTCAGACTGGCGAATGTGACGCGTCTGACATTTGCTCGGTAGCCGCCGAGCTCGAAAGTCATGTGGCCGCTTTTGCGGCTCGTGTTCAGGCTAGAAGAAGACGTTTACAGAGAGCTGTGAATTTCTATACACATCAGTCCGAGGTAAAAAAAAAAATCGTAGTTTAGGTCAGGTATTTGTATTTTATTTTAGCATTTAAAAATTTCGATCAACGTGTATTCGAATCTGTACGTATTGTACTTAGTACTGGTCCGTATAATATAAACATGTTTTTGTCGTATATCATATAAAATCTTGTTTCTAATTTTTTTTGTGTATTTTGTAGCTCCAGGGTTGGCTCGATGAACTCAGAGCTGAAACCGACGGGTGTGACGAAGCCGCGGACACTCTTGAAGGCACAGAAAGAGCTCTTGAACAAGTCAGCCACCAACGGGATTCGTGTTTGGATGCATGTCATTCGACAATAACTGAAGGAGAGGCCTTATTACAAGAACTAAGGTAGGCGGAAATGGTCAAATAGAGTTGTAGTATAATATATTTATACATTTAAATATTGCATAATACACGTGTACATTAATCGTACCGTGTTAAATGTCGACTTATTGCATTAGAGATTATTATTATTACTGGTTTACACACAGTGTAATCTGTGTTATTTTTATTTAATTATTTTACAAGCTCAGCTCATCTCATGTTTTTCGTCTTCTTAATTAAATTCGTACGGCGTGAAAACAAAAGTTTTAAAATAGCCTAATATGAAACGACCCGATCAGTAGATTGAATGAAATGGCTGATTGGATGATTGAATGAAATGGATTGAATGGCTTAATTTATTATTTTTGAGATTGGTTTAAAAACTCTATGAATCGACGTCTTCTTTATCATGTGTTCTTATCTATTCCTTCTTTTTAGTTTTATTAATCGTATTTACACAGCTTATTATTTTCATTATCGTAATCATCTCATAACATTTACTATATTCTTAACCCAATCACTTGTAGTTATTATTCTCTTCTCATGTTTGTACGTTGTATATACTAATCTTTAAATTATTTGATATATAAAAAAAAAATGTTTAAAAAGCAAAAATCAATTACTCTTTCCAATAGTACTACAGTAAAGTACAAAATTAACTGTGCAAAAAATAACTATAAAATTACTAGAAATGAATTTGTCGAATTTCAGTTCGTGATAAAAATGTTAATATTGTAATAATTGTATTAAAAATTAATTTTTTTTTGTTTGTTTATAGAAGTGGAGGTGTAACTGCAGAAATGGATCCCACTGGATCAGTGGCTGCAGTAGATGCTGCACTTGAGCGACTGAATAAACAACGTTTAGAATTAGAACAACTATGGGCAACTAGAAAATTGAAGTTAGATTTATGTTTGAGGCTACGTATTTTTGAAAGAGATGCACTTGAGGTAAGAATTATAACATTTAAAAGAAATTGTTTTATAATTGTTTTAAAAAATATTTATGAAAGGAATATGCATTATTGTTATTTATTAACACAATTTTTATTATTATATATTATCTATTATATACATTTAATGTGTTTAATCATCTATTTTTATTACAATAATTATTCTAAATTATGTGTTTTTTAAATGTGTAGGTACCATCTATATTTATAAATGAATGTTTAAATAATTATTTTATATTACCAAACATAAAATTGCTTTTATTGTTGGTATAATTAATACTTATTATTTTGTACATTTGTGAATTGTATTGCAGAAAATGTAAAAAAAAAAGAAAGAAATTAAGATTTGTTAGTTTGTTTACTAGTATTAAATATTTAACTATATATATATAGTTTTTTATAGGTATTTAAAATTATATTATTTATGTCATTGAAAGTTATTTTAGAACTTATTTTACATTTAAATTAATATAAATAATAGTATGATATAATTGTAAAAAATAAATGTATTCTTATTTGAGAAGTTGTTGAATATTAGTAAAAAATTTGAATTTCTTTCTCAAGTTCTTGCAGATAATAATATTATGTTTAGGAAATTCAATTTGTTTTGATTTTCTATGGTTTTTAGCCAATTCTAATTTTAGTGCTATAACTGGGACACTGGCTGTAATACTTGAAATTTAAAATTCATTGTCAGTTTTATATGATAACAAAAAGTTTATTCCCAAATTTTCCATAGCCTTTACAATTATATTTATATTCTTTTATCTTATTAGAATTGATTTATGTAAATAAAAAATTATTTAGTTATCAACTGTAATTTGTGTTGGTATTTAACTTTCTTTTTATTTATGTCATTCAGGTATCATCACAGTTGGAACTTTGGGCTAATGAATTAGAACGAAATCAAAATGAAGTAATTAATACATTATCGGAAGCCGAGTCACGATTATCTCGCCATAATGATTCAGTTTCACAGATGCAATCAGCTGTTTATCAAGCACTAGAACAAGGAGAACAACTGGCTCAGGTAATTATTATATTAACTATGTTCAAATGTCAATCTATACAAATTTGTAACTTGTTGTATGTATTTTAAGGTTTTGGATAAATCTGGAGTCGGTGTTATGGCCGATAGTCAGTACACTGCTCAAACCAGAGTGCAAGTGTTACTCGAGTTTTTACATGAACGTCACATGGATTTAGTGGAATTATCTGAAATCAAACGTAGCCGACTTGATCAAGCTGTTCAATTATGTCAATTTAATAATGATGCATCACAAGTATAAATATGTTTGATTTTAAATACTTACAATGTCTATTATAATATTTACTTCAACTACCTTATAGGTGATAAGTTGGATTAGAAATGGTGAATCAATGTTATCAGCAAATTTCACTATTCCCAACTGTTTAGTAGATGCAGAAATTCTTAAAAAAGAACATGAACAATTTCAAGTTGCAATTGAAGTAAATACTTATTTTAATTGTTTTTTTTTTACATTTCTTTATTCAATCATAATTATTTACCCACAGAAAACTCACTCTGCTGCTGTTCAAGTAAAACAGTTAGCTGAATCTCTTGTAGCAGCCAATCATTATGATTCAACAACAGTTAAAGAAATGGCTGTAGAAGTTACTAAACGGTGGCAGCAGTTAGTTACATGTGCTGAAGAACGACACAAATTAGTTACCGCTAGTCTCAATTTTTACAAAACTGCTGAACAGGTATAAATTTTATTTGTATATATTTATGTTTTAACATATACATTTGTCATACAAAAATATCTAAAACTGGACATGTTTGTGTTAGGTATGCTCAGTAATGGATAGTCTTGAACGAGAATATCGCCGTGAAGAAGATTGGTGTGGTGGTGGTACCATTGAAGCAGATAAATTAGGACAACTTTGTACTAAACATCAAGAACAAAAAGAAGCTTTTTTAAAAGCATGCACATTGGCTAGGCGCACAGCTGAAACTTTTCTGAAGTACACCAATCGTAGTTTGCAGTATTACAGCTGTGCTAATCAATCCATGGCTAGTGTGGATACAGCATCAGAAGCACGGGTTAAGAATATTCTAGAAAAATTATCTGGTCAAGAAAATAAAGTACTTGATCATTGGTCACAAAGGAAGAAACGACTTGATCAGTGTCAACAATTTGTGTTGTTTGACAAATCAGCCAAACAAGCTATGGAATGGATACATAACGCTGGTGAACAGTATTTAAATACCCATACTACTGTTGGTGCCACACAGGTTTGTAAATTCAAAATAAGTAATTATTAATTATAACTTATACATTATTGTTGTTTTTATTATCATTATTATTATATTTTTGTTTGTACATAGGATGAAACAAGACATTTACTTCATGAACATAACGAGTTTAAAACATCGGCCAAAGAAACACGTGAGAAAGTTAAATTGTTAATACAGTTGGCAGATAATTTAGTAGAAAAAGGTCATGCTCATGCAAATGCTATAAAACAATGGGTGGCTGCTGTTGATAATACATACAAACATTTTAGTTCTAGAATGGATAAATATAGGTATGCAACTATAAAAAAAAACTATTTTATTATCAGATAATCAATTTTAATTTTATATGTATAGACTTGAGTTAGAAAAGAGTTTGGGCATACAAGAGCATGTTGATACACGTGATTTATCAATTGATAGAAACTCAGATCCTAATTTAGAACAAAAAGTCAAAGAATCATCATCTAAAGATTTGAAAGAATTAAACGAAGAAAAGAGAAGGTCAGCTAGACGTAAAGAGTAAGTAAACATATGTTTATTTCATTATTACATTTAAAAAGAGTATTTTTATATTATTATTTATGTATTATACCTGTTTGTTTAGATTCATTATGGCTGAACTTCTCCAAACTGAACGAACATACGTTAAAGACTTGGATGTTTGCATTAAAGCCTACTTAGATGAAATTCGTGCTCTTCAAAATGTTCCAATTGGTCTCCATGGTAGAATTGACATTTTGTTTGGTAACATCGAAGACATACGTAATTTTCATCGAGATGTATTTATTAAAGAACTAGAAAAATATGAAACTATGCCAGAAGACGTAGGACATTGTTTTGTTACATGGGCTCAGAAATTTGATATGTACGTGAAATATTGTAAAAACAAACCAGAATCTAATGCCATATTAGTGCAGCATTCAGGTTCTTGTGGTGGTGTTTTTGAAGAACTCCAAAAGAAATACAACATAGATCATCCTATTGCTGCTTACCTAATAAAACCTGTGCAAAGAATTACTAAATACCAGTTATTGTTAAAAGATCTTCAATCGTGTTGTAAAGAAGGGCAAGGGGAAATTAAAGATGGCTTGGATGTTATGTTAAGTGTACCTAGAAAAGCTAATGATGCTTTGCATTTATCCCTCTTAGAAGGATGTGATATTTCTACTGATGAACTAGGGGATGTAGTAGTGCAAGATACATTGTATGTGTCAGACTCAAGACATCACCTATTGCGTAAAAGTCGGGAAAGACATTGTTTTCTATTTGAGTTATACTTAGTGTTTGCTAAACACGTAAAAGATAATTCAAACAATCCTAAAGTGAAGTATTTATACAAAAACAAACTCATGGTAATTATATAATTTATTGATTTTGTCTTGATTTGACTCAATACCAATTATTACTTATTACTTTTATTTTAGACCTCAGAACTAGGTGTAACTGAACATATTGAAGGAGATGAGTGTAAATTTGCCGTATGGACTGGTCGTGCACCAATTTCAGATTACCGTATTGTATTAAAAGCATCTACTTTAGAAGGAAAACAAACATGGGTTAAAAAACTCAGAGAAGTTATTCAAGAGACATATTTCAATTCAGCTTTGCGCATGTATATGCCTAAGAGTCCTGCAAAACTTAAACCAGAAAGTCAGCGATGCAGCCGGTTTGTGTTATTTTTATTATTTTTTTTATCTCGAATTGCCATAGACTGTAATTTATTTATTATAATTATTTAGAGATTTGGAAGAAGAAAATCTAGATCGAGGTTCATTAGCTTCATTTGGATCAGGAAATACCACCGATTCAGACAAGGTATGTACCAAGTACATTTTATTAATAAACATATAAGTAGCCAACACTTTTAATTCACATACTGTATACATATATATATATACTGTATGTATATAGATACTGTAGCTAATGTAGCAAATGGGTTCATCATAGAGAAAATATATCAACTAACTTAATATTATTCATTGAATTTTCTTGAAACTTAAAACACTTGTTATACAATTCAATATCATTTTTCCTGTGATATTTTAAAGTTACTTTTATTTATTGCACATTGTTGAGTATTGAATTTAGTTATGTGTGTTAAATAATAACCTAACTTGAGTAATGATGAACCGTATAATATTCACTAACAACTATTCAATTTTATGAATTCTCAATATTTATATTTAGTATTATTTATGTTATAATATTTATAAAATAAATTTAAAACATGTATTGAAAGTACTTGGCTTATTTAAAATTTAAAAAAAAATAAGGTCCTAATTATTAATTTTACTATTTAAATTATAACTAAATGATTTAGATGCACATAAATTTATTGAAATTCATCACAAACGATAAATCTTTTAGTTTCTTAGTGACTCCTTTTCTACTGTACCTAAATACCTATGAGAAATTTAACTGTACTGTATAAGTACTTACAATTTATAAAATGTTTCTAAATATCTGTAAATCCAACAGATTCAAATTATATTTTTGTTTTTTTATTTATTTGGAATCGGGTTGATTTTTAATGTATCTTGAGGTACATATATATTTATTTAAATTTTGTAGAAAAATCCATAATAATAATTATTATTATAATTATTATAACACCAGTTTTTTAAATTTTTTTTTTAAGATATTCAAACTATATTAAAATTTAAAAAATATTTATTTTCCATCAATTATTTATGAGTAATGACAACTGATGACTATCCCAAAGAAGACATTCCAGCTGTTTACGGCAAAAACAAATTGGCTTTTGGCACAAACATGCTAAGGAACAAATTGACGTAGAAACGATTTTGGCATAAACAGTTTTGGGTTAAGGTTAAATGTTCTGGTTGAAAAATCGGGTTCAACATATTATCATATATTTTTTTTCAAAGCTAAGGAAACATCAAATTAATGAAAACGTATATTTGAAGAATGTTTGACCGTTTAGTGTCCTAAACTTCTCAACCTGAACTGAACAGTTACGCCATAATCTTGGACTTGCTATGCGTAAATGTGTATCATGGGTTCATGCCAAAATCTAATATTTCGTCATCTGCTAAAAATGTGTAGGTAAAATTATATTGGCATTTGGTCAATCAACTTAAATTGGAGTATAGGTATTAATTAATGTTTACCCAGGTGAAATTATTAAAATCCATTGTTTACAAATATGTCTAAATGTCAATGAAAATTGGTCGGTTCTTAAAACGTTTTTAGAGAAATTAATCCATTGTTTTTATTAGCTGGCTAGAAATGTATTAAATAAGAATATGTATTGAAGTGTACAATATACCTACAGCTAAATAGTTAACTACTAATGGACTTTCATCGTATTCGAATTTCTTTGATTTTACAATAATATATTGTTGGTGTTTGATATAGTACATAGAGGCCGATTAGATAACTCCATATGTCGTGATTACTCAATAAAATGTCTATAATTGGGCATTTTTTTTTAGTTGAATTTTGCGTTTGATGAATTGAAATGGCAGTAACTGGTAATAATATTTAGTTGAAGCTTGTGTTTAGTTAAATTTTAATGAATAGTAATGCTTAATATAGTTCAACACCGAACCATATTTTTTTTCCTATTCAGTGTGTATGACTTTGGTTAGATAAGTTCCTATCTTAAACGTTTGATTTTAAATCTAATAATAGTATTGTAGGATTGGGATTAGTAGATATTTTTTTTGTTGTTTTATATATTTTGATTAAATTTAAAGATAAAGTTATTGGGGAAATAAAAATTCAACGCTACTAGCATAATGCATTCATAATTAGTAATTATTTTTTATTTACATTATAAGACTTCTTATCGTCGACGAGTCTCATTCTATAGTTGATTAGCCATGAATTATATATTATTAAATATTTATATTGTACGACCAACTACAATCGAAAAGACTGAAATTCTACCTAAAACATGTTCACAAAGGCTGAGAAAATCGATACCATAATTTACATAATGTTATAATGAAATTGTGATAAAGAAGCATAAATTTGATGAGGTAATCATATTTATTTTTTGTTCGACCTAACATATTTTGATGAAATTATCAGTTCTTAATGCACAAAGCGAAAACATGTATAAAATTATAATTGACAAAATGTGTTAAAATTCCTTTTTCTTTTTTTTATAATAGTAAATCGATAATATAGGTTATAGGTTGACTTTGAATTTGAATTCAAAAATGTGGTCTACAATTTTTTTTTTCGTCCGTGGATCGGCTTCAGTGTTTTTACATTATAGGAAAAGTTTCGAAATGCTTTAAACAGTCTATAGTATAGGTATAATGAATAGATGTGTGCCTATTATGTGCTATCGGAAAAACGTTGGTCGTTGTGTTGTGACTTACGTATTATACTTAAGACCGTTTACTATGTATACGAATCTTAAGCGAGTCAAAGTATCGTAAAAATCGAGGGCGTGTGTAGTACCCTCTCGATTTATAAATCGACTAAATAAATAATTATTCGTGAAAACATTATGCGGCATACCTCGTGCGTGGTCGTGCACGCGCATCCTTTGCTTACGCTTTTAGGTCGTGCATGCGCGCGTTTGCGTATTACGTTAGACGGACTTATGTATGTAAACCGTTAGAAATTGTTGCGGTAATTTCTGGTCGACGGACGACATAAAATATGCATATTAACGTGTATAATATATGCGCTGGCGATAAACCGGCGGCCGACTTCTGCCGCACATAGTGTATATATGTACGACGGTAATCGATCGGTATGGCCACCGAATGCGTCGTGTATACGAGTGTCGTCCGCTCGTAACACGTATTTCGGCGAGCCCCTCTAGGGAAACGGGAGTAGGTACGATCGTGCGACTTTTCCGTAGTTTTTATTATTATTATTATTGTTGTTGTGTAATGAACGAGTCCGACAATGTATTTGGCGTTACTATCCTCTCGGCAATCGTATGACACGATATACGTTGGACATCACACGCGCAAGTCTTTTTGCTAAAGTCTCGTGGAACTCTGTTACAACCGGGTTGAGGAGGAGGAGGAAACGTTGTAAAAGTAAAATGTGGTACAGTTATATTTATACACGTATAGAAATGCCGTATAGTTATATACATATTATATAGATATGATCGTATAATCGCACGACGATATATTATTATTATTGTGCGCGCGTAGACGAAAGTGGCGGCGCTCGAGCGATATGGGATAATGTTGGGCGTACCAAGAGGGGTCAGTGGCGGTGGCGACGGCGACGAACGGTTTTTAGATAAGGATAATCCGCTCCGTCGGTGGGTAGGTCGTGTGGGGCGGTTTTTTCCTCGGCCCTATCGTTCCGCGCGCGAGTTACTACAGCATTCGCGCGACCGGAGCGCCCCTCAACTCACCTTCTCTTTACCAACCCTCGCCGTGCCGTGACTATACTATATACCTGGTTCATACACGTACACCACGCACACCACGCACGCACGCACACTACGCAAGCACACGCGCACAGCGTAAAAGACTCGGTGGCGGCGGCGACGGTGGTGGTGAGTGATCGAGCAACGAGCAGGCATCCAGCCGGCGAGCGCCGCCAGTCGATGGCGAGTCGCTCTGGTCGATGGCAGCACCGAGCTCCGGTGGTGGCCGCCGCGCCGACGTGTCGACGGTGGCCGGCGTGACGAACGTACCGTCGCCGCCGTCTAAAATGCCGTCGCTGCTGCCGCCGCAACGTCCGGCCATCGGCGTCGCCGCCGCCGCGTCTCGTCTCACCGACACCCAAGTGGTGGCCGCAGACAAATCGCACCGGCGCAAGATCTCGTTGCCGTGGTTCAGGCAGACGAGCACGTCCAACGCGGCCGCCGCGCTCGCCCGGCAACACACCATCGACACGCCTGGCTCCTACAGACACCGTCCGACTGCCTCGCGATCCTCAGCCGCCACACAGGTACTCGTAGAACTGTGGTGCACGTACATAGTAACACCACCAACGTTGTTACGATCGAGTGTATACGATCGCTTATCGCGTTCACCTGATCTCGAAAACGCATCTTTAACTCGTTTCTTTTTTAACTCGTGTTTGTTTAATTTGTTTTTCGTAATTTATTTTACCATTGTTATCAGTGCGTTCGTAAATGACTGACTCTCATTATTTATGCGACATCATTTCAGTCGTTTCATCTTATTTAGTAGTATAATATACATTTATAGCATTGTTTTGATCGAAAAAAGCGTTTTGGGTGTGTTATAATTACAAAAAACGTGCGCTCAGATCACATGATAATCGCGTGCTTTTTGTTCATTTTTTTAACGATTCGCCGTTTTATGTCTTAAAACATTTATGGCGTACATCCTGTGTATATTATCTATGAATAAACTTTTTTTTAATCATATACTGCGAGAATTTATGTGATTCCCTTGTTGTTACTATTATTTTATGCGTCATTATTTGGCTTTTATGTTGTACTGAAATTGTTATCACGGTAATGGCAATTACATCGATTATTAAAAATTGTTTAACTGTAAAACGTTATTTTCATATTAAGCTATAGTATTTCATTTTTGAAGTTAGAGCATGTTAATGGTTTCGTTGATTTTTCAATCGGTGAAGCAAGTAATTGACGCTTTCTGGAATGAAATTATTATATTCGTACTTCTATTTCATTATTCGATTGACACATAGAAAACTACTTGTAATTTCAAAGGGTTTTTAAAATTTAAAATTTTATAAACAATGAAATTTATCTTAGTTCATGTTAAGCACCGATCTATTTACTAAGTCTACAATAATCATAAATTTGAATCATTAGTTATTATTTTATATTAGTTATTATAGGTTCTATATTATTATAGCATTATTTATTC